TGGCGTAGAGGTCGGGATGATCCACCGTCGAAGCCTCTGATAGATAGTGGATAACGAAGATTGTAGCGCGTCATCTTAATCTTACTATTTCGGTACCAATCACGCAATTGTTTACGATCTGCGAAGGCATATCCATTAGCGCCAGTATCAAAGAGGGCAGAGATTGAAAATTGAAAATTGGGAATTATCTTTAGTTTCAAGAGTACAATCTATGACTAGTGGCCTTCCGCCAAACAAATTTTCCAAATCAATGGCATTTACTCGATATGTGTTATTCTCTAGGAAGGCGACTTCTTCTAGAGACATTCTTTTCCCTCATTGGAGCTCATGGTGAATTCCGATCCAGATGCTTCAGCTTCCTCCTTCTCCGCATTCACCTCGTTGACTTTAGCAGTAGGACAAGCGTCAGCGTAGTGACCAGTTTTGTGGCAATGGAAGCAGACACCAGCGGTTCGGACCAAGACGAATGGCTTGGGTGGACCAGATGCTCTTGGAGATGCAGTAAGAGTGTGGTCCGGCGGGGGAAGTGGCTTTTTGTACCTACCCTTGCGTTGTTGGTAGCGAGAGGCTTGATCCTTCGATTTGCGCGCTAATTGCAGGTGTGGTTCGATTTTCAAGTAGTGTTGCAACATCTCCAAGGTAGATTCAAAATCCAATCCGGCGATGACATTTTGCAACTTGGGACTCATCTTTTCATGAATTTCATCCATGCGGTCCTCGTCTCTAAGTTGCAATTGGGAAGCGAAGGTCAAGAACTTAGTGAAGAAGGCTGAGAAGCTGTCATCCCCTTGTCGGAGTTTCTTGAAGTTGGCACGAGCTTCGGAGCGCTTCTGTCCTCGGGTATTGCCGTAGGCTCCTCGCACAACTTCGACGATGGACATCGCAACAGTGATATGGTTGACGCTTTCTGGTTCGAGGTAGGGTTTAGTGTATTCCTGTGCATCACCACCAATAAAGCCCAAGGGATAATTGATCATGTGTTTTTCATCATCAAAGTAGATCGAATCGCCGTTCAACTTACGCTTAACGGTGTGTTCCTGGTTCTCGAAAGTAGGATTATGAGAACCAGTGAAGGTGGGTGGGTTCTTAATCTTCTGGCGGTGGCGGAGTCGCTTAGCCTGTGGGTCACGGACATCTTTGTTGCTTGGTGGTATCTCTGAGGCCTCACAGCCGGCGGCGTCTTTGTCAAAAGTGTTATGGGCAGCAGATCCTCGCACCGATTTGGATTCCTCCTTCTGCTTACCCTGATCATTGGCTTTTGAGATCTAGATTAACCTCTGCAAATGTAGCCTTCCAGCGCTCGGCTTCCTCCGCCCGACTTGTGCCATTTTCTCTGCCTCTGCCATCTGGTCCCATGTATCTCGAAGGTAGTTACTAATGTTGTTGGCACGATCAGCTAGGGCGGTACACATAGTCTTGAGGATATATTCTCCTGGCATCTTCTGCTATCCTTTATTAGCGAGACGATTAGTCATGACTGTCCAGATAATCGTGAGCGAAACGCTGCCCATAGATTACTGAGTCTAGAAGTAGTATTTTGTAAAGGTTTAAGGAAATCAGAAGTACTTGAAGTCGTTAACACAATGGAAATGAATAATTTTTCCTTGGGGAAAGCTAAACTACCGTATCGTATCCTGTCCTTTATGTCTTTCGCGTACGCTAGTATTAATTCCCCCCTTTAGCCATATGAGAATTAATCCTTTCTTCCGGCTCCCTTCCTTGGCCCCTGAGAATCATCCTTTCTCCCTGGCTCTCTTCCTTGTATCGTACTCCCCCATCTGGCACGTACCCCCTTTAATACCCCCTTAAAGTCCCCTTTCGTCTATCCAGGAGCGTTGCTTTGCCAATACCTTACCTTGGAGACGGAGTGGTCCTAGTGACCAGTCCCAATCCGGGCACAGCCCGGCACATATTTTACCTCTCTACAGAGGTCGCGTTGAGTAGTTTATGGAGCTTAGTGTTATGTCACGGCGTAGAAATGGCACAAGTGAAAGTACAGCTTGCATAGCGATAATTCAATCTGTGAAGCGAATACTAAGCTGGAGTAGAATAGTAGAGAATAGAATCTAACTAGAAAAGCCCCGAAGCTATTCCTATTCGGGCCTCCCGTATCAGCCATCAGTCTCCTCCATCCACGTGACCATATCTCATGACGGGGCAGAATGCCGTGCCGTGACAATAGGCCAGACAAATGTTGACAGACTGGTGGCACTCGAATCGCCCCAAACATTACGCCGACCTCGAACTTGAGTTGCGGCGCAAGAAACCGCTAGAACTGGCGCTACCGAGAGCGGTCTATGCTCGATTGATCGCCGCCCGAATCGGACACGGGGACTTTGCGGCATATCACCGCCGCTTTAACCACGCCACAGCCGAACTTCACTGCGAGTGCGGGAGAGAAAAGTCAATGAGCCACCTTGTCCAGTGTAGAAAAGCACTGGCAACATGGCGGCTGAAAAGCGGAAAGAGAAGGGCACCAGCTCTGGAAAAAATGCTTGGATAAAGGGGATGGAAGCTGTTCAGGGACTACGTCCAGGAGAGCGGAATATATGGTAATTTGTTTGCTAGACCTGGCGGTGTAGCTTATAACAGTTAGAGAGTTTATTCTGGAATGCAGTGGTGGCTCGTTACAGAGGCGATTGCGACAATACAATTGAGGGTTGTATGAAAGTTTGGCACTTCTATGGGTCTCAATTGTGTGGAGGTTGATTCAATTATTTGATGATTATTGCTTGTTATGTCTATCTATAGAGAATGTGCTACAGTTCTACATGTGCCCGTAATTGCTTAGATTTGGTTAGTGGGCTGTCCCCTCTTTTACTTCACTACCATGTTCCATCACCTGATGTAATAACTGCTCACCACAAAGTCCGCAGATTGAACAGCATAAGATACGTCGGGTAGTTTATGTAGACTGAGCTGGCCAACACGAGACCTTAAGGTTGTGTTGTGAGCTAGCACGACGTTAAATAATTATAAAAAAATATAGAACAGTATTAGATCACAACACTGGGTATGCCTTAGATGTAGTCCTGGCTGTGAACACCGGTCCTATACTCATAGTGGATTTGTAGCTTTAGCTTAGGACTTTAATAAAACAACAACAACAACAACAACAACAACAACAACAACAACAACAGCATGGGGTTAAGTAGTTAATGGATATAATAAAACATATCACATCTGTGTACACAACATAGATATACATCTTCTATATTTGCCAGATTCATACTCTTCTCTTCGCCCACTGATACTCGTCTCTGTCATAATCGTGTCACAGTCGCTCTCCGCCTTAATAATAGGTCGGAAACTGAGCCATCGAGAGATTTGGCCACTGAAATGAGAATCCTTTAAGCCATGTGTCAGGTTTAATGGGACTTTTGTAGGAACTCATCTCGCCGGGGGCGAAAGATTGAACTGGTTAGATGTCGTTAGTTGTTGTGTTACGGTTTCAGTACAAAACGCATGAGCAATCTTATAAGTACAGTATGTTATTTGTAATTTTCTGGTGAGAGAATGTCTACAGCTAGACTACAAATATATATACAATCTAAGATAATCCCCTTCTATAAGATTCCCTGCGTAACTAGTATTGATTGGAAACTTCGACAACACCCTTGAAGATTTTCGATACTCCTCTCATCCTCATGAACCTTTAGCATGCTTCCAGAAGATTCATTGGGAATCCTCTAAGCTCCGGGGATTCCGAGATCCTTCCCAAGAATCCTCGAAGATTCCCTTGGTGTCATTGCCTGTGCTAGCCAGCGTAGGCTACAGGAATTCTTAGACTTAGCAGTTGTTACATTTTGCCTAAAAAGCCCACTTCTTCGGGTTTGCGGAAATTGTTGTAATTTCGCACCAGTTACTTAATCTGAAGCGACACAATTGAAGGCAATTTACGGCGAGGTTGATTGCAAGTAACTTAGCATAGACGCACTAGTCTATGATGAGGTCAGCGGTAAAGACAGGTAATCAGAGGGTTCTTTGATACCTTCATGTAAGATAGATCATTCTCAAATATACAACGATATTAAAAAGATTCCGTGAATAATTTATTTGATTTATTAAATACGAAGTGTATTAAGGTTGTCCCTATATTCTTTGAGTGAGTTTCCTCTGAGAACCAATACGCAACTTGCAACCGAAATCGACTCGACTAGGTGTTAGGAGACAACTTCTATACGAGATTTGTCGACACCGTAGACAGTTGCACAGTGATCAATCTCTCCCTTTTTTTTCTTCAGTGGTCTAGTCTACGTTCCACCCATCATTACAAAATCTCATTCAGCTGCTTGCCTTGGTCGACCCGCGAGTGTCGAGACTGTAGACCAATTTTGCGCGTTGGAGTATTCACAGCGGGATGTACCATTAGTGGAGGCCGGATTGGTTTGACCGGACGGGCAAGTCAGGTAGGGAATAGTAAGTACCAAATTACGAGGATCCTACATTCAGGCTCGTCCACCCGGGCCGCGTGGGATTGCCAAGTACAACAAAGAGTAAAATGGGAAGGAAAATAGTTGAGACCTGGATAATGTCTTGCATAACAATTGGTTATAATTCGGGAAATTAATTAAGGGCACCTTCTCGACCTAGTTAATTATTCCTTTCTCTGAAATTATTATTGCCCCAGTTATTTGATGTTCCAAGTGAGACTATCTGAGCCGACATCAAGTGCTTCATGTAACTGGATGAAGTGAAATGAGGTGCTACAAGGGGGCTACAGGATCAATTAATTCTAAATAATCATATTGGTATATTCATAAATGGAAATCTTCGAAGGGCACCAGCTTTCACTCACAATCTCTACGGGAAACACCTCACAGATATCTGCCAATACCACTTTGATACCCATCAACAGAGACATCAGCGCTGAAAACAAAGTCAATCTCACCAGCATTATCTACTTGACCCAGGGAAAAACTTAAATCGTGTCCCCAAAGTACTGAACATCCTACTGTTTCTTGTACAAATTCTAGCTTCGTGTGGAAAGCATCCTCGAAATGAAGTTTTTTAGCGCGGCTTCCATAGCCGTATCGGCTTGCCTCCCGCTCATGGTTCTCGCTGTGCCTGGAAGTTTGATTTATTCGTGTGAAAATCAAACGCTTAGCCAGGAAATAGTCGACTTCTATGCAAAATTCGCTAAAGCCAAATTCGTGGAATCTAGAGATATTGTAAACCCAGATCTTCAGGTAACCAGGGCATATAAGTTTCGCAAAAATCGAATAGACTACGGTTAGACTAAATTTCCCAGCGTCTTTTAAATCACTAACCATTCTTCACCAAAACTAGTAATAGATAACTATCTGATCCAAATTGTTGGGCCTCAATCGGACATCATACTATATGAATCAAGTCAATATGGTTGGAACCAGTGTTTTCTCACAGTGGAGGAATGAGCAAGTAATCGTTCAAGTTCTGCAAAAGGGCAGCATATATGAATGTATGTTTATATTAACATTGTATCAGGCAAATTTCCTACACCCGAAAGGCATGGTACAGGTGTTTGATCCCTGAAGACTCACTACTACCTATCCGTCCAGCCTTTTTGGCCGAGTAAGTACACGAAAGAAAAGATCAAAGAATTGCCAAGACAAACAAACGGCCTGCGCCTTTCCCATTTTCATGTCAAATTGCGAAAAAACTCTAGTCGCTCGAGATGGAATGTCCCTCTCGATATGAAAATTGCCCTCCGTAACATCTGATTACGGCTATGTACTTACAGAATTCCTCCCGTCCGTTTTCTACCAATATAACCCATCCTCTGGGTGGTGATTCATGTCTAGACGTTCTCTTCTGTGTTGGAAATTCAGACTCTGTGTGTCCAAAGTTTCCCAACGATTGGAACAACTTAGTTTCTCACACATGATTCACAACTAAGACGATTAAAAGCTACTTCATTGATCATGTTTTATGCGTGAGACTCTGCTAATTCATGGTTTGGTTTGATACCCATGACATAGACTTCCATCCACAGGCCTTGACCCCATTCTCCTGTTGTATTCTATCGTGCGATATCAATGGTAATGTTCGTGTTTGGAAGAAGTAGTGGATGGTACCTGAATTGGATTTGGTCTACTAAGGATACAAGTGTAAAAGATACCTAGAAATCACCGAGATAGATGATTAATTCAATCAATTCAATTCATTCTACCAAGCACTTCTACTTCCACAATCAATCACATATTCTACCGATTCATATCGATATCATTTTATTCGTAAATCGCGTCTATTTTCTTCGTGTCGCCTTGCTCATCGAACCCATACCGATTTTCCAACATGTTGTTGCAGAGCCACTCGGCACTCTACGAAGTGCCATTGACGTGTCTCCCTTAACAAGATACATCTACCATCAAAATTTTCGTGCCCTAATCTGTCATGGTTTCCCTTGAAGTCACCGTGTCCTGTCCTCGCTGCTATCAGACGATGGTACGACCATCTCGGCAATCCAAGCTCAGGCGGTTGTTTTCGTCTCATATACAGGTCTGATTCTTCGCAGCAACTTGGTGAGTGATCAAGCCACTAGAATTCCGCGGTTTCCTTAGCGCGCTCTCAGACGAAACGATTCAGGGCTGTAAAGGTATATTACTGCTCATCCCTTAAGTCTGGCATGTCTCTCAGGGCTGCCTTGGCAAATTTGTCCACCGTTTACCACCACTATGACTTCTTTGTTATGACATGGCCAACGAGGTAGTCGAGTCTGGGGCATCGCGTGTGGCTCAAGGCCACAGCTTACAACACTAATGCACTGGTTAAGCGAGTATGTATAGTTTCATAGATGTACCCACATTAAATGCACACAGGATTAGCCTGATACTTTATGTCCATACATCTACAGCATAATATTGTATGAGTCTATTCACAGTCAACCACTAAATATAACATCATCCACTACTCATCACTCCGCAGTATGACTTCCGCACAGCTCGTAACCAGAATATCCTCTCACGGCTACCCAGGCTTCTAAAAGCTCTGTAACGTACACCTCTGCTCCGGGTATGGGACCTAATCCTGACCCTATTATTTGGCCTGCTCTATGCAAAGTGTATCCTCAAGCAGATTTATATTATGATTGGTATATGATTTGGGAATGTACACTTGCGCTGGAACAGCTAAGGTAGTTTTTGGAGAGATATCTTCATAAATATGCAGAAATGAAGTTACTATGATAATTGTTATGTTGCACATTGGGAGAAGCTCATCACTTATCCCCTAGCTTGTTCGCTTGTAGACCGATTACGTAACCAGTATGCAGTTCACCAAAGTATGCTCCCGTCTGAGCAGCTAGTGGACAAGACTGAACACCTGAACACCTGTACGCGGTGTCCACTGCGAACCTGGGAATGAAATACTATTCCAGAGCTAAGTTCAGTTAAATATCGCAAGACTGACCAAGTTGATCCACGAGGCAATGATTTAATTTTTATCTCAACGTCATTTTTTCGCACCCAACGAGTCTGACTCCTACCTAAGTCCCATCAGGTCTACAAGTACGACCAAGTACATTCTCATCCCAATGACCGCACCTTCTTCAACCTTCTCTGGTCTCAGTTGACCACCAAATACACACCCGCGCCGATATGTACACCTGACGGATGAAGCAAAGCGTGACGCACAAATCTGCGAGACAGTTCTTTGGGATTGACGTAAGAGGGATCAGGATAAGAGGACAAGCTGATGCAAAGGAAGGGTTTAACCTCGAAGGGCATGAGATTCCGAATTTTGGCAAGGAGTTTTTACAAATTGAGCTTTATGCGCGCCAAGACTTCGCTTGCGAGAGTGCAGCTGACAATATAAACACAAGCCAACGATGGAAGGTGTTGTGATCCGCCTCCTGGCGGTGTTCTCTGGTATAGTTTGAGTAGCCTGGGCACCTACTCCACTTGGGAAGGAGACATCTCAGATTACATTTCGCGCGGAGAAAAGTTGATGGATGACGGAGGCATGTCTGGATAACTCAGGGTTTTTGAGACGTTCCCCTGGGTGGGTATCCACGGATGAGGGTTGACTTGGGGTGAAGAAAAAGCCACCATAACTTCGCAGTGGTACTTGCAAATGAAATCTGAGGCATGAGTGCTCTTCTTTTACGTCGAATCATTTGTTTTGTTCTTTTCTTTGACATCGTGTCATAGCTAGATAGCTGCATACGCAATTAAAATCTGATGCAAAAAAAAAAAAAAAAGGTCACAATTCACTAGCTTATACTTGATAATTGGGAGGCTGGTCAATATATGAGCCGTCATGAACATCCTAGTAATATTCGAACCTTATTACATTCCATGTTAATGCAACTCTTCCAGTGGTGCCAGTGTAATTGCTCAGTATGCTCTGCTTATCTGATATAGCCAAGAAGAATCTCATCCAAATCGAAGTCGAAAGCAAACACATGCATATCTCCATTTGACCACTTCTCAATCATGCAGCACTCACCATAATCTTCTGAGTCCTCAACCTCTTTCTAACCACACATCATCTCGGCTCGACGACTGATAAAGGCGTCAGCCCAATTGCAAACAGGAGCTTGCCTCAATCATTACCGGCCATCACTCACTACAAATTTACGACGCTACGTATACCCGCAAAGAAGAAATTAAGTCATAATATACAAAGTTGGGTCTTGGTTTATGGGGGACTGCTGCTCTAATAGGGTTATACATTTTGAGTAATGACAGGCTGCTGAGATGTGAAGCGAGAGGTAGAATAGGTCTTTGAAGACTGTGTTGGGACTGACATTTTCGAGGAGTTTTCAACTTTGGATTTTTTGTGGGCGCCAAGACCAAGATTTCGGCTAACTAGCCAGGAGGGTTTCTTTTGTCGATGAGTCAACGGCACTCCCCAGCGCCCTGGACGGCACAAAAGAAGTTAGGCTAAGCTACCGTACAGCAATCACGCTCTGTTAAGACTTTTCTGACATTTCAACACGACCTTCGGGAAGGAGTTGGAAGGAGGCTAGAAAGGTAGAGGGCGAATTTCTTTCATGGATCATTGTGGCATAGCGTATTATGAAACGCCATGCGGACGGCTAAGTTAAAACACAAATAATAGTTCAATGCACTTCTAAATCCAGCAAGGAAGACTGATAAGAATGGGCTGGTTTCATTAGGTGATGTGTAGCAGATTGTTGGGCATAGGGGCTGTGTGCTACGTGCTATTTGGTAATTTTATGTATAAATACTCGGCGTGAAGAAGCATTATTCTTCACGCAACTTCTTCTTCAATTGCTTTAACCATACATTTGTTTACCCATCTCTTCTTCGGGAAGACCATTTATCTATTTCCAGCTCTTCATCAGTAAGACCCACGTGTAGCCTCTATCGCTACTATCTACCTATTTGTCTCTTCCTAGAGAAGACTAGTCATCCCTTCGACCCACTCGTCACCTTCATCTACTACCTAGATCTTCGTTAGACCACATACGCACCCTGTGGAACACTGTCCTAACCTCGCCTTGAGAATTTCCCAAGGTACCCACAAGTCTGCAGCGCCCAGCTGGTCGGCCTCTCGGAACGCATCCGAATGATCACTTTGTCTTCGGATTTAGTCCTAATGTCGGTATTAGGAGAGTCCCGCAACCAGTGGATTTTGCGTCTTTTCCCGGCTGCCATACACTCGCAAATTGCCATCGGTTCGTTGGCTAGAGAGGGGAGATAATGAAGGTCAAAGGGCTCCTCTTAGTGTATGATCGAATGAGGACTTGCGAGGGGTGGTACTGTTTGAGGGGAGTTGTATGGGAGGCATAGGAAGGGATATACTACTGGTATAGGTATCCTTGGCCTGTAGGCAGAGAGGACCTGCATGTCCTACATAGTCATAGACTCAGACAGGACAATAAAATGAATTAATAATAATGCGACTCATCATTGCCAAGTAGCGTCGATTTCAACACTGATCCCAGTAATAACCGGATACCTTCTGAAGACGAAATATCAGACAACAAAGTGCGAACCTGCACCATCGGCTGTACCGAGGCGGCCCCAGGAGCAGACGGGCTCATAGTTGAGCTTCTTGAGGCCTGCTGGAAGACGATCGGACCGTGTGTTACGGAGCTCTTCAAAGCTAGCACACGGCTCGGCACCCATCCATCTTGCTTCAAACTTGCAGAAGTAGTGCTAATGGAAAAGCCAAATTGGGATCCAACTTCAAAGGTTGGAGACCTATAGTCCTCCTCTTGTGCCTAGGCAAATGATTAGAAAGACTTCTTGCCAAGCGAATGTCGCACCTCGCAATCACTTATGATGTGGTTGGCCATCAACAACTCGGTGCGCTCCCAAAGCGATCTGCAACGGACCTGGTCTCCTGCGTAGTCCACAACGTCGAAGAAGCAGGCTCCCAGAGATGGGCCTTGACATTTTTAACTTTAGACGTCCAAGGAGCGTTCGGTGCAGTGCTCCACAATCGCTTGGTTAGGCGCATGCAAGCTCAGGGATGGCCAGACTCAATCCTCCGGTGGAAGACTTCATTCCTCACACACCGGAAAGTTTAAGTGCGTTTCTCCGGTGGAGTCACCACCTAGAGTGAGCTGGTCCGTGGAGTCCCTCAGGGCTCACCAATTTCGCCTTTACTATTCCTTCTGTACATGGTAGAGCCGATGAAAAGTGGCAACCCAGGATCGAAGTTTAGCTATGTCGATGATATTGGAATTCTAGGGTTTGGACGCACAGTTGCTGAATCTACCGGTGCTGCACAAAGAGAGGTAGACCATCTTCTCGAGTTAGCAGGGACAAATTCCGTTGCCTTTGTTGGAAATATCGCGCAATGAAATTGGCGCAATATTCATAGATCGAAAGTAGAAGTTGACTAAAAGAGTGTCATGTTCGGATTAAAGCTAAAAGTGTGGGAGATGTGTTGTAAAGGTAAGAGCTTACGGAGGTTATTTGGCAGAAGGTTTACGGATGATTATCAATGAATCAGTGTGAACTGCTGAAATATTTGATATTCAGAACTGTGAGCATTTAGGAGGTAGAAAGCGCTAGTTATATACACATCTGAGGTAGCTAGACCCTCGCCTTATTTACCCAAAACAGTATCACGGAATATTCTAGTCTCCTCCATCTGGTAGTACAATCTAGAAATACTTTCTATGCAGTGCTCTATTGTTCCTTTACTCGTCATGGAGCCACCTGGAAAGTTTTTCCTTCACCCTCAGTTATCATTACCCTTGTGCATCGTAATCCTAGGCATCACCAGCACAACAAGATGTGCGCTACAAGTACAAGTGTAAGCGACACAGAGCCTTAGCCACAGCATAAACGAGTGTGGCGCCATCTAGGCGTAGAAAACCCCCCAATAACCTCCTTGCGCCCACGCCATACAGCCGCTGTTATCTCCAATAGGTAGCCTGAAGCGCTACCATATAACCCATTCCAACCTCTTAAATACACATAAGATCGTGTCCGGAACCTAGACGAAATGGAGGGCCCGTACGTCCACAACACTCCGTGTCTCCATTTCCAACAGCCTTCGAAACAGAAAAGTCTGAAGTCATCCAATTCTCAGGACGACGCCGAGAAGAAGCAGCTGGGGTTCACGTGAATGGAAATCTCATCGAGCCCGCTGATCATATTGAATGGCTGGGCGTACATTTGGATCCTCGACTCAATTTAAAACACCACGTAACTACCTGGTGCGGGAAAGCGATGAAAGCAGCACAGCATATGCGCCGCTTCAACTCGGTCTTTCGGGGAGCAGCCCCTGCGCCGTTAGCCAGTGCAGTAGACATGTGCGTTGTCTCACTAGCAACCTTTGGATCTGATGTCTGGTGGCCAGGATCCAAACGCCCAACCATACGAGGAATAGTCACGTCCTCAACCTCCAACCTCTGCGGCATGATTGACAGTGCGAACCTGATGGGACTGTGGGCTGCGCTTCCAGCAATGAGGACAGCACTAAATGTAGTCCTTTACAGAGAAGGAGGAATCCCGCCGGCAAAGGTCATACTTGAGGGAAACCGACTTCGACTTTCGGCAAGGCTTAAGACCCTTGAGGATCGACAACCTCTGAGGATCCGCGCTTCCGTGTGCCCGAATGTCGGCACCCAAAAATTCAAAAAGACCGCCGAAACCTCAGCCAGACCAGAAATCAAGATGTCACAATTACAAGGTGCCTACCAACAGCTTCTGGAAGCAGAAGCCCCTGAAATTCTGATGCCGGTGGTTTACCCTAGGAAATCAGGCTCAAAGCCGATGGAACACGAAGGTTGCGTTAGAATGTTGTGATTATGAGCTTACGGTAGTCAATGGGCTGAATCACCTGTTTAGCATTGTGCGCAGGACGTGGTAACCTAGTAGTCTGATTGTTATGTATTGAAGACTATGTTGATCTAATAAGGAGAAGAATTTTCCTATGTACATGATTGAGGTGTTCGTGCACTGAATATCACCCAACACAGCTGCCACTCTAATCTAATGTAATCCCCATAGACCACACATTACAACATAAAAGGATTAGCAACGTGTCAGGAACGAACATTTACGCATACTCGGATGGGCCATCGGAAGAACATGGACGCTCCGCCTGGGGTTTCGTTCTGAGGAAGGATGGGAAATTCATCGGCAAAGGAAGTGGCATCAAGCACGGGGGACAGGTGCTGGATGCAGAGATAGCAGGAGCAAGGAAGGCTCTGGAGGCCGCACTGGAGTTTTTGGAGAATGAAAAGTCCAGAAAAGTAGGGGGAACGTAGCAAATCTACGTGTTTCTAGACAGCCAGCAGGCTGTAAGCGCACTAACGACGGGCTCGTCCTCAACTAGCCTTAGAGATTTACGGAGCTTCTGTGTATTAAGTAACGGGGCAAAGGTAGTGGTAAAATGGGTGCCAGGGCACGCAGGGACACAAGGAAACGAGGAGGCAGACGCCATTGCCCGTCCCGCCCTTCGAGAGTTACCTAGCTAGGATACACCACCAGGATACACCACCAGGATCATGTACTCTGGCACATCTTCGAGGCCTCATAAATCGCAGACGGCAGAGATTGCTGGACAGTTGGTGGGAAGAGGTCTGTCCGCCTAAATACCGCCAACTCAAGCTACAGGTGCGGAGACGCAAACCACCCGAACTGTCTCTCTCTAGGCACCTCCTCCGGGCACTAGTCGCAGCACAAACGGGTCACGGCAATTTTGCCGCATACCATCGCCATTTTAATAATCCACACGCTCCTATGGAGTGCTCTTGCGGGAAGGAAACTACTCCAACCCACTTCATCCACTGTAGCCGTCACGCACAACAAACGCGTAGGCTCAGAAAGTCAATGACCCACGTCGAATTTATCAAAAAGCTTCTCGGGCCCAAGTGCCACGATAGCTTCAAAAAATTTGCGCAGGAGACCGGCTGTTTTGATGGACGACCTGCCCACTCATCCACTGCTCTCAGCGGGGATCAGATAAACTAGTCATTGCTACAACGCATGACACGAAAGGGAACGAGGCGAGAGGTGTCGATTCTCTGAGGAAAAATTGCAGCAATTGTGAGTTAGGGGGAATAGTCGTGATTTTTAATCGAGGAGTTGGAGTAGGGGATGTCTGTATCGTAATTTACTTCCTACTATTTCTGTAGCGAGTCCAGTGGTTGGAATGAGTTGGGCCTGTTAGCAGTGATGCCCGCCAGCTCCACCAGTCTTGTGCTTATAGTGGACCTATAGCTTTAGCTTAGGACTTTAATATAAAAAAAAACAACCAACCACAAAGATGGCTTCAATGAGGATGGTCATTAATGCCGTGACTCTCAAGGCAATCATTTTGAGGTAGGTGTAATGGGGTATAGAAAAGAGTAATGGCTCCCGGTAATTCTGTAAGTTAGAATGATTAATAGACTTCACTTTTGGACTTGCTCTGGTGTCTACCATCACAAATTGGTCCCGCGACATCACCGCATTTATTAATGGTCCCAGGGCCACACCTCGTGGGAACCTGTTGCTACTGCGCATAAAGCGGAATAGTCAAGAAGAATGGTATCTGATATGTAGTCAAAAGCAGGCATTAGCAAATCCAGAATCTACGATGTCTCATTAATGTCAGATCTAACATTCCCGCGCGAGTCCTCAGGCTCGATTTAACCACAAACCACCTCGCCCAAACAATGAATGTATGAGTTATTCCAATTACAAATGAGAGCTTGGCCCGTTTATTACCAGCCATCTCACACTTTTAAATCATGACGCCGCGCGTGCCAACGAGCTGGAAATTAAACCGTGAGATACAAAGCCTAGGTCTCCGTCTATGGGGCATCTTTGCTCCAATGGGTTTATACAAAGTGAGGAATAAGGTTCCTAGTGGGCATCTTGAGATTGGCATTCTTCAAATTTATGGTGCATATGGGCACTACCATTAAGACTCAGAGAGTGCTACCAACACTTTGAAAACAAGTCTCACCGCGTTGGCTTGGATGGGTGGAGGTGGTGAGAAGTGACTTTGGTCTTAACGGCGAGGGTTGGCGCAAGTCAAGGTGTTGCCACGAGAATGATATCTTGATGGACAACATTGCATTTTCGTGCGAGACACAGGGCACCGCATCTCGAAATCCGGGAGTTTTTTCATTTTTACTAGTCCCTTTGCAGCAGTCATCTCGGTAAGAATGAGTCTCTTGGGATCAAGTAGGCGTGTCATGTCAAATAAAATGCAGGGCTTGTGCTTGACACGTTAAAATTACAAACAATCAAACTCAGTTTCCATAGAACCCACAGGATTATAGAGTGCCGAGACCTTCATTTCTGGCACTCCCGGAAAGTATGTTACAAAAAGAAGAGAACCTTTCAAAATGACGCTTGTAGTACTTGGGCCCATGAGTGTTAGAGAAGACAGAGCTCATTCCAAGAAGCTGCATGGGGAACTACATAGATCATGTCACCCAACACGTTAACCTACAAAAAGAAGCTGTCGAATGGCCTATTGACTTGGCGACATTATATTATCTTAGAAATGATGACTAACTATGTTGATGAGTAATGAGTTACCTGTTTGGGAATGGCGTCGGGAGAGAGGGACAACCGCTGTATATACGTGTTTCCTTTATCTGGAAGTGAAGAATAGAAGATATATGTTAACCACAAATTGTTATTACTGCTACAGAAAGCTTGTGATATACGTACCACTCGAGTATTCCGACAGAAGCTTAGTGAAGGGTAGCGTGCTCCTCGAGAACTGCAGTAGCTGCCAAATACCAAGCACGTTATGACATAGACAATTGATCTCGGTATGATTTTTAACCACGTCAATTGATTGTTGCCAAATGTCAAGTCACAGGTCATGGGAATGTCAGCAGATTTGAGCAGCGGACGAGAGTATTGTCATCTAGAAATTCTTTTGGGAACATGTCATGCATCTATTTTAACAAGATTTTTGCGCGCATTTCCAATACCAAGAACTGCCTCATTGCGGACTATTCAAGCCACATCATGAAGATTAGACTTTCACCAGAGGACACGTAATCCATTTTCCTTGGATAAATTTCCAAATTTGGGTCTCTAGTTTATCGCCAACAACTTGGACCAAGTAGTAACCAGGTTCTAGTATTGTTGAAGAAGAGTTAGTGACAACATAGTCGCAGAAAAAGGCAATCTAACCGTTATCCGCATTGCTCCTGCTAAAATGATATGCCCCGCGTACTACACCATTTTTGCTTTCAGGGTCGCTCTCATATATTTGACCCGGAACAGCTTGATTTGCGTAAGTCTCAGCTTCTTGTATTCCCATTGTATCCATATTTTTACACACATAAACACTCTTTCCAAGCGCGGCAGGCACTAGGAGAAAAAGGCAACTTAATGCGGCCGTAGAAGCTCTCACAAGAAACTTCATTTCGAGGATGTCTTCCGCACGAAACTGGATTATGCACAAGTGACTGTGAGATGTTTGATACTTTCAACGACACACAATTTATGGCTTGACTCCGGGTGAAGTGGATATCGCTGGTGAGATTGGCCTTGTTTTCCACGCTGATGGATCTGTTGATGAGTATCAAGGTGATATTGGTGAAAATTCGTATGATTTTTACAATTAGGGATGAGGCTCTGTACTTGTAGTCTTTGAAGAGGTATAGATATGAATATATCAATATAACCATTCAGAATTACTAGATCCTGTAGCTTCCTTGCAATATGTAGTGCCACATTCCTTCCAACGTCGAAATTACTCAAGCTCGGCTCAAACGGTCTCTATTGAATCATCAATGGACTAGGGCGACAGTCATTTCCAAAGGAGACAATCTTTATTCGGCCGAGAAAGCTACATGGATACACTTTGTTGTCCATAATTTTTCGTAAGATGAAAGATTATTTTGGTGTTAATTCACTTTTATTCTCCATTCCACCCTTTTCCGCGCTTGGCCACCTTACACGGCTCGAGTTGACAAGTCACCAGGAGCAATCCTCTTGCTTTATTCATTACTAATCTCTACCAGACTCGCCCGTACCGTCAAATCAACCCGAGCTTCGCCATTGGTACAGCCCACTGTAAATGCGCCAATGCAGATGACGGTCCTCAGTCACGATCCTTGAGGATCGACCAAGGCAAACAGCTGAATGGGACATTGTAGTGGCTAGCGAGCCCAAACCAAAACATTGGTAAACACAAGGGGGAGGGGGGGTTAGTTTGTCGAAGCTGTTAATCTGCAGACGTTGAGTCAGTCTCGACGAAGACGGATTATCAAAGGTTACGAAATCATATGTTATAAAATGTCACGGAATCAGGTCGTGATCCAATCTATCGATCGAAACATGGAAAGTTTATGCTGATTTTATAAAATTGCAACACAAGAATGCCCTAAACGCGGAATAAGAGTATCCGTAAAAGATATTTCATGGGGATATTACTGAACAGTCCCTGAGGCCAAGATTTTTGTTTTAAAGCCGCCATAGATTCACGGTGGTTCTTGCAAATGAAATATGAGTAATGAGTCCTCTTCTTTTATATTGAATCATCCATTATGTACTTTTTCTTTGATATTGTGTCATAGTTAGATAGTCGCACACTGTAACAGCTGGTGAGCCGACTGTAAACCCTGTAGCCTGCGTTGGCCAACGCAGACACTCTTTCTACCCGCTGGGACGTCAAGGAATAGAAAACTCACTCTACTGCTCGGACGACTAGCAAACACTCGAACAGTCGCGGGGAGGATTTCCTGGAGCATGGGGAGTGACATAATTAAAGGACTGTGTGTCGGAGCATCTATTGAGAAGGTTAACAGCACTCAGGCCGGCAAAGACGAATTCTTCACCTTCCAGTGATGCCGGTGAAATCGCTCAGTATGCTCTGCATATCCGGGAAAGCCTAGAAGAATCGCATCCGAATCGAAGTTGAAAGCTAGCCCAAGCACATATAAAGTCTACGACTTCTCATTGTCGGATCTATCATTCTCACGCGAGTCCTCCACCTCAATATTACTACATCTCCTCGCCTCAAATACGGATAATGGCGTTACTCCAATTGCAATGGGGCATTTGCTTCATCAAAAACCGGCCATCGCACACTACACATTTACGATGATATGTATACCCGCGAGGAGTAAATAAGTCATAATCTACAAAGCTCGAGTCTTGGTGTATGGGGGACCGTTGCTCTAATGGGACTTCACATCTGAGGTTGGACAGGCAGCTGGGACGTGGGACGAACGAGTGAAGAGGTCACGAATTGGTATGCTGGCACGCGCTGTTGTGCAGGCTCGGTTGTGCAGGCTGGGTTGTGCAGGCTCGGTTGTGCAGGCTCGGTTGAGTTGTTAGGAGACAGGGGAACAGAAGATGGGCTGCTGGATTATTTTTTATTTTTTTTTTTGCATCAAGGCTGCTGGATTAGGAAAGGGTGGAAAATACAGGCTGGTGCATAGACGCTGTTCATGTCCTCTACAATCACTTCACCTACCGAGTTTAGTATATCAATCTATCCAAAATAATATCATACTTCACATCATCCATTAGATGATATTATCAATCGTCGGCATGTACATCTAGCATCACCTTCATAGATCACCATTGTCAGTAAGAGTTCACATTTGATAGCCACTGACTCGCATTGGCCACAGTGATATGCACTCAGTATCCATCGTGCCATCTCCGCGACTCACCATTGCACATAAGCCCGTGCCAATCCACCGACGGACAGCAGAGTCATAATTGCCATATACCTCACGGCTCATAACCACAACAGCTTCTCACTGATCAGTCGGGCAAGCTGGTTGACCATAAGCCTTTCCGACCATTTGTGGCCTCCAGCATATTCAAATTGAAGCTCCCACTTTTGTAGGAACTGTCTCTAAACTTGGGGTTCACCTTGCTTCATCGAGTGTAACTTAATTTCAGCCTTTTTAGCACCAGCCTTGTCAAAGTATGACTTGTTACACTTTCCTAAGAATTCCCTCCAGTTTTAACTCTTTATGTGGGTTCCAGACTTCAACCAGGGACTCTAAATTTACTGACACTATGGTTCCGGAATACTTTCATAAATGTTCATAGAGATTGCAGTCTCTGTCGCTAGAAATGGTGCGTACAGGCGCAGGTTTACTAGGCGCAAGACTTGAGGCGCAAGGGATGGCGAAGCGTACGAGGTACTCAGGATGGACGCCTCGTGGGAACGCAGAGGGCTTTCTAGAAAAGTAATAAAGGAGAACGCGGGGAGTCGTTCTAGATCAAGTGGCCGGAGGTGACGGTAGATCACTATGGGTGGCAGAGGACGAGAGTGAGATGTAATGAGAATTATGTAACTATTCCTAAAGACAGAAAACAAAGCGTGAAGATCTCAGTATCGGAAATGAAAACTACACCACTATCCTCGCCAGACAATAAGCCTAGTTGTGCTGTACGTGGTATCCTCTACAAACCTGGAAGTGAAATATTCTCCCAGAGCCAAGTTCAGTCAAATTTCGCAATACCGAACAACTTGTCCCACGAGGCAATGATTCAAAATATTCCGCCATGTCCATCTTTCACTCCCAACGATTTTGACTCCTAAGTCTCATCAAGTTTACAAGTACGACCTAGTACTTCCTCATCCCAATAACCACACCTCTTGTGGACTTTCTCTGGCCTTAGCTGGTCACCAAATACACGCCCACGTCGATATTTATACCCGACGGAGGAAGCAAAGCGTGGCGCACAAATCTGGGAGACAGTTCTTTGGGATGGACGTGAGAGGGATCAGGACAAGTTTACAAGATTATGCGGAGAAAGGATGTAACCTCGAAGGGCGTGAAATTCTGAAGTTTGGCAAGGAGTTTTACTATTTGGGCTTTGTGCGCGCCAAGACTTCGCTTGCGAGAGTGCAGCTGACACTATAAAAACAAGCCGACGATGGAAGGTGTTGTGATCCGCCCCCCTGGTGATGTTCTCTGGTATAGTTTGAGTAGCCTGGGCACCTACTCAACTTGGAAAGGAGACACAAAAGACCATATTTTGCGCGGAGAAATGTGAATGGATGACGGAGGCATGTATGGATAACCCATGGTTTTTGAGACATTTTCCTGGGTGGGTATTCACGGGTGAGGGTTGACTTGGGGTGGGGAAAAAGCCATCATAACTTCGCAGTGGTGCTTGCAAATGAGATCCGTAGCATGAGTGCCCTTCTTGTAAATTGAGTCATCTACTATACATTTTTCTGATATTGTGTCATAGCTAGATAGCTGCATACGCAATTAAAATCTGATGCAAAAAAAAAAGGGAATTGTAATTACCAGCGCCGAAAAAAACTTCATTTTTGACGAAAAGCGGCACCTCGTTCCACAAGCGTTACTTCATCGATTTAATTATAGCATTCATCTTAATCAATCCTTCTTACCTGATTCCCAGAATTTTTTCGTTGCGCTCCGGCAAGGCGAGTTGGGGAGCCAGTAGTGTGGATTTCGCGGCTGAAACTTTTTTCACGGCACCACCAATACCAACAACAGCGTGGCAATTTTTAAAATGACTGCGGAGACAAAAGCTCGGATTTCTGGAATCCAAATCAATAGGGTAAGGTGGCTTAACGACGGCAAAGAGCACCAATGGATGAAGACAAACGGCCATTCTCGAGGGTCAGATATCGCAAGCCTTCCGACCGAGGCTCTTCAACGCGAAGTAGTTCGAAACGGCATTGTGATGGATTCAATGCTTTACACGGCCCAGCTCTGGACACCTCGAGCACAAGTCAAGCAGTGCTTCAACTGCAGCAAATGGGGGCATACTCAAGCTTCCTGCAACATGGCAAGGAGATGTGGTGAGTGTGCGAGCACTCACCAGACCAGAGACTGCCCGAAGAAATCGGTGCTTTGCTGCAACTGTGGCAAGGCGCATATGTCGTGGCAGAAAAAGTCGTGTCAAAACTTCGCGTCCTACAAGGTTAGTGTCCAGAGGGCACGGTATGGACTTTTGGAAAGAACGGCAGATCTAAGAAGGGAGGAACTAACAGTAGCGGCCACTACAATATCATCAGCGGCAAAACAAGTAGACAACCAAGGGTTTACACTGGTGTCCAACCAGAAGGCAGAGGTCGGAAAGAGAGGGCCAGGGCGCCCGCGGAAAAATCCCGTGGCCACAGCCCCACCTACACACCAATTTGCGCCATCGGGGTCGAACTCAAGACCACAGTCATCACCTTTTGGCACGCGAGGGCAGGGAAAGGATGGCGAGGTCACCTACAGGAAGCGCACTAACGGCATATTGCGCTTCCTGTAGGTTAACGAAGTACTACAGTAATAATTTGAAGGAGAAGGGGGTTTCTATCGGAAGGTTTCCCCCTCATGTAAAATACCTATAAGTAGAGTTTATAGCCACCTGCATGGGCCCATAGGGCGCCAAATCAGGGTAATGAAATCAAATTCAAATTCAAATAAT